CATTATTGAATATAAAAAATATTTTAACTATATTTGAGTTCTTAATATATTTCTTATTAACTTTTTAAAATATAATTTGAAATTTTTAAACCTTTAAATTTTTATTCTAGTAAAAAAATAAAATAATAATAATTTTTTAATTTTTTAATTCTTTTTTATCAAAGTAGCATAAATCACATGTTTAAGTTACATTAGGCAAACTACAAATTCACATGATAAAAATCTTCCAATAACAAAAAATCCAATAACTATATATTTTTCTTTAGTAATCCACTTCTACCTAATCTAATGTATTGTATACTTTCATAGCTTAGAATTTGGTTTTTATCATGAAAATTCTATAGTTGTACATATATTAAAAATTAAATTAAAATAAAATAAAATCTATAAAAAAATCTTGTGAGTTGCAATTTTCCTACTTGTTTTTGCATTTTTAATGCTTTTCTAACTTTATAATCTTATTTTACAAAAAATCATGAATTAATTGTGTTGAATGTAAAAAAGTCATTTTCCCTTCAATTACTACTTCTTTACATTTTTTTGACTATTAAGAATGTTCTATATTGGTTGCTATGTCATATCCTAAATTAATTCCAACAATTCAAATTCTATGCATTATCTTTACTATTTTTTCTATTAAAATTTTCAGAACTATCTTTATATTTATAAAGTATATAAGAACATTATAACATCTTATATAAAAACTCAATTCTAAAACTTGAAATTAAATCTATTGTAGAATTGGTTAGAAATACATTCAATATATATTTTTATTTTACGAATTATTATTATTTTCTAATATTAAAAAAATAAAATAAAGAGGAATAATTATTCAATAATTACAAATTTTATAATACAATATATTATTTTATATTTAAATGATTTAAAGTCAAAAATTTATTAAATCAATCATTGTTTTTAAAGTAGATAACAATATGATAGTTAATTATATTTCTTATGGTTGTATTATATAAAGTTTGACATAAGAAAATCAAAAGAATTTAAATTAATAATTAATGATATTTTAGCATGTACATATATAGATGTGCAAATATATATATATATATATATATATATATATATACATGGCTCAAATTACAAGCAAACCTTAAGTTAATATATACACATTCCAAATTACAACACACCCAAAAAAATAAAGACCTATGATTGCTTGTTTTGTAGAAATTGATATCTACCACTACTACGCAAGTCTTGGTGTCATCCCTTGTGGTCGTCTTACTAGCCGATTAGCAAGTAGGATGAAGGAGTAGCATCCTTACCCAAGATTGATTTAACTTTGGCTTCTTAGTTCCAAAGCAAGTTCTTAACTTCTTCCTTGATTTCCTAATCTCCCAAGGTCTTACATGTCATTTTTTCTTGCTCTAGCTTTTCATCTTTATTCATCTACACTAGCTCATTGCAAATGAATGCATTCATTCTTGTATTCTTTTAGAGCTTTGGTGATTGTTGCTTGGACATCAATGCAATTTTTCATCTTCAATCTTGTCCAATCCCATTTTTTAATTTAAATAGGTTTTTTGCAAGTTCAAATTGAATAAGGAAATAAATAAACTATTGTCACTTATAATACTTAGTTACCAATGTTTTAGCAAAGTTTCTTGTCTTCTTCTTTTTTCTTTTTTCTATCCCATGTCAAACTTTCAATGTCTTTTCAAATGACATTGTTGCTTACAATTCTAATTGTGAACCAACAATCCTTAGGGTTTGCTATGAATTCTCAAAACTCTTATGGTTCCAAATACATGTAAGTCTTTTGTATTAAGGCTTTGTAATATATTCAATAATTCTGAAGACTCTAATTTGCAATAGATAACAAAGGAAAGAAATCAATCAACCTCATCAACTAAGACTCTCTTCTAGAAGAGCATTAAGATCATTTTTTCCTTACGGCAAATACAATCTCTCTATGGTCAATATCAAGGTACCAGCCTAAACATAAGTATACAAATATTTTTCATTTATTACAAAGGGGGTATAAGAACTTGATAGAAGACAAGTACATTGCATCCTCTTTCTTGTTTTAGATGCTTTACAATAATATCTCTATGTTATTCTCACAACAATGATAAAACAATAATAAACAATGGGATTGCACAAGTTTGTCATAGTCAGAAATGTAGTGGCTAATAGGTGGAATGACAACATGGATGTTGAGTGGACTCATGCTTGAAAAAAAATGAAATGTGGGACTAAAAGTTGCAATGGAACTAGAGATACAAAGTTTAAATCAAACCCAAGCAAAGGTGTTGTCTTTTTATCCTGTCCATTTATTGGCTAGCAAGATTGCTACATGGGTTGACAACAAGACCCCATCAAAAATGGCAAGTGTCAATTTCCATAAATCAACAACCAATTTGAGTTTTATTATCATTTATTATTATTTATTATCATTTATTATTATTATTTATTATTATTTTAGATGTATGAAATAAATTTGAAATCTGCTTATAACTTGAACATATATGTATATATATATATATATATATATATACTTCTTTGAGAATATAAAAAATTTACAAATTAAAGTCATATATATATATATATATATATATATATTGAAAGAATATACCAAGAGGTGATTTAATTATTAATAAAATTTCTATAATAACCAACTCTTGAAAACATATAAATTAGTGAAGTATATATGCTTATTTAAAAAAATCTTAAAATTTGATAAATCATGAATAATATCAATAGATAGATATTTTTGTCTTACTATCTTTATATAAAATTTTATTTTTAAATATTTATTAGAAATATAAGATCAAAATTGATTTGAAATACAAAAATGTTGTATTTTTTTTTCTAGGAGTTTCAAAATAGCAAAAAGAAAAAATTAATCACCAAATAATACATGATAATAAGAAAATGATAGTCTAATAAAATGCAACTTGTAAAATTCTTAAATGAACACATTATTTTTTTAAAATGTGATTGAGTAACAGATTTTATGTAAAACATAAAAAGTGTTATTTTGAATAAATGATACTTTTAAAGAATCAAAAGAATTTTCTTTCTTTTAAATTTTAATTAACTATAAATGATATTAAATTAATTAAAATCTACATATTACATTAATAACTATAGAAATCATTTATGTAATTAAATTAAAAGGTTTGAAATACATGTAAGTTATAAAAAGTATACATCATTTTATTGTTGGTGAAAGAGAAGAAAAAATGAAAAATCAAAAAGAAAAAAATTAAATAAAACTAACATTGAGCAACAAAGTAAGTAATAAACAAAACTATAAAAATTAACATTATATATATATATATATATATATATATATAAGTTTGTAATTTTTATAAGTTGAATCTTTTTATAATTTTTAAATGCAATGTGATTTTGAAATATTAAACTAAAATATCTATATGTCTTACTCACAATAAATTCTATTAAAAAGTTCTAATAAAAAAAGATCTTGCACTCTGACCACAACCAAAATTCTATCTAGGATTAGTAGCTAAGTTCTAAGAATCTTGTACAATAAACCATACAGTAACTTTAGATATTTTCGAATTAAGTTAAGAATTGTTAATTGGCATGTTTTAGAGGAATGTCAATATTATACTATGTAACATTTTAAAATTGATTCATGATTTTTGGCAAATTTTTAATATTATGAAATTAATAAAAAGAAAAAAAAAAATCTTTAGATCCTCTGTGGAATGTTCTAAGTTTTATTTAAAGGAGTTTTAACTCCTCATATTAATTGCATAGGATTTGTGTCTCCATTTTAAAATGTAGGTTAAAATTTATATACCATATTACTATTAGGCAGCACCCCTCGTATTTAGAATCAAAGTATAATAGAACGTTAGCTAACAATTAGTTACTATTTAAACACATTATTGTTTTGTAAATCTCAACATTCTAAAAAGAAAATCAAATTTCCAATATTGATATTGTAATTGTTGTGATTTTTTTAATAAAGTTCAATTTCTTTATCATATATATATTTTTAATTACAGGAATCAATTAATATCTTAAGAATACTATTCTAAAACTCATCTTACTAATAGAGTAAGGATATATTTACAAAATTAAAATATTTTAGCTATTAATTCTTGAAAATAATAAACTAGTTTTAAATAAAGTGGTTTTTATATTTCTAATAAACATAATATTAATTTTTATGTATAAATTAGCTAGAAAAAAATTCTATATATATATATATATATATATATATATATATATATTATCTTTAAAATATATTATATTATATTAATCAAATATATTTGCAAAAGAAGGTTGAATACAATATTTTTTTAGATTAAGTATTTATATGTACAATATATTAAATGCATCCTATAAGGGTATATTATTTAATAATATATTATAAAAATATAAATCATAAAGATTATAAATATTTTTTGGTTACTAAATTAAATTTTTAAAGTTTTAAATTACTTAATTTTGGTTGAATTCTAAAATTTAAATTTAAAATCACTTTTAATTATATAAGTCTCAAAAGTTAATAGTTTTTTATGTAAGAAATAAGTTGTATTGTATACTTGTACTAAATAGCTCAAGTTGATATTGTAAAAATACCAATATATTAATATATTCATAATAAAACATTTTGATATATAAAAACTAAAATGAAATCATTACAAAATACCCTAAAACAAGACTAGCGAAAGACTATCTATTAATTTTAAAAGAACTTAAGAACATTTTGTACATTATATGAGAAAATAATATACATTAATCTATATACATCTTAATAAATTTTTACATACATAGATGCATATATGAACATGTATTAGAAAAAATACAATCATCACAAAAAAAATGTATTAAACATAAACAAATGAAACAATTTTTGTGTGGCTTTGAGGAAGTTTTGACCTCGAGTCACGCCGCATTCAATGAGAACGAACGTCGTCCATCGGAAGTCGTCTATAAGAAGAAATCCATTCATTCATATAAATCATCCATCCAACAATGAATTGGAGCCTTAATACCTTGGTCTCGCTTTCCCCAGCGAGGCAGTCAGTCAGTGCTCGGGGATCGTGAGTGTGTCTGCCATTGCTCGCAACCGCGACTTCGATTTCCGCCCGAGAAGTTCTCAAATCACACTCTGCTCGCCTTCTACTCCAATTGGACCTTCTTCTCTCTCAATTCCGTTAGGTTTTGACCCATTTCGGAACCAAATTGGATCACTGGGCCTGGTAATAGTGGTGGGTCTGAGCTATGGGGGAAGAGTCGCCGCAGTACACGCTTCGATGCCAACTCTTTGGACACGAGGAAGATGTAAGCCTTCTTTTCTTTTCTTTCTATTTCGTGCATCGATCTGTAGCGCCTGGGTCCTGTCGATTGACTACAGTTTGTTTCGATGCCGAAGAAATTGTGTTTTCGATGTCCGTTGGTGTTGTTCCTTCGTTTTAACCTTCATGAATCCAGGGTTTGCGTGTACTTTCATTATTAACAGGGATTTTGAAGCGGAGAATTAGGGTTAGGTTTTATTGTTTGGGAATTGTTTGATCGTATTGGTACGAATTGAATGGATATATTGAATAGCTTATTTTAAAGTGATATTGGTTGAACTTTGGTTTAGAAGATTGGCCTCAATATTTTACTGCTTCGAGAAAGAGCAATTATTACGCGCTGATTAAGAGTTCCTACCGGCGCAGAGTGCGTTGCCGCTTACATTTTGAAGAAAAGTAGGATTCGTGTTGAGTCAGGGGACTTCGTAAATCAAGTGTCGTAACGTGTTTTTCATTGAAATTGGGTCAAATAGAATGGGTTTTATCATTTAGGCGGGGGCGTCTCAAGTAATAACAAAGCCGATTCAGCTGACGATGACAGTAATTTGTTAGGATATGAAATATATTCGAACCTATCGTACAAGAACACTACCATGGAGATTTGCTGATTGCACAGTCTCATGGTTTCTTTTTTGGACTCTCTATGGGCTTCTGAAGTCCTAACATCTAAATTCGAAATTGCTGTGAAGCTCACACTTTTTATTGCTCTTTGTCACCAGGTACGAGGTCTGAGCGTGTCCCACGATGGAGTGATTGCAACAGGCTCTCGAGATAAATCTGTTCGAGTTTGGAATTCTAATCAAGGCGAGAGGGAGTATATCTTGGACAAGACGCTAGTTGGGCATACAAACTTCGTGGGTACTGTAGCCTGGATTCCACCTAATGAATTTCTACCCGGTGGGGGGCTGGTGTCTGGAGGAATGGACACTCGTGTTTTAGTCTGGGACCTTCAGCAAGCTTCTATCGCGAAGGATATGAAAGGACATAAACTACAAGTTAGCAATGTAGCTGTTGATCCCAATGGTGATATCTTGTCTGCATCTGTTGACAGGTATCGTAATTCTCAATGGCTGTTTTTGTCACAATTTGCGTTTTAAGCTTTATCACCAGAACCATTTTCTATTGCTCGTCACTTTTTGTTGTGCGTTTATTCCTCCAAGATCTTGCAGCCTATCCCGATGTTTTCTTTGCATCGACTTGAAGTAGCATGCGTAGCGTTTGTCCATGGATCTTCTATTGCATATATGATGTTTCGTATTTTCTCAACTCACTTACGTACATTATTTGGAACTTGACATGATTGCAGCACAGTACGTAGGTGGCGAGATGGGCAGGTAGTCGAGGTTTTGCAAGGCCATGATGGGCCTGTTCAAGCGGTGCTTCCATTATCCAACGGTGAAGTTGTGACTGGATCGAGTGATACAACCATGAAGTTATGGCGAGGTTCAACTTGTATCAGCACAATCCGTGGCCATACAGGTTGGGCTCTACTTGTAATTCAGGTTTTTACAGTGTAATATGGGAACCAAAGAAGGGAACGGTACCATGCTTTGGATCTTTAGAGTACCCCCTTCTCAAAAGCTTAGTGGTCATCACTTGACGCTAATTTAGAGACTGTGATGTCGAAAAGTAAAACTGGCTTGACCAATTGCTTGGGTACTCGAAGTAAGGGAGTGGGTTTTTTGAGTTCGTTGGACGGGAAGGTGTAAAATTGGGTCTAATATTTAGCAACAGTTGTTCGCTAGATTAATGAGTAATATGAAAGACCTGAGATTTTGCTATTTTGAGCTTGGATGTTCTGCTGCAGATACTGTGCGCGGCCTTGCAATGATGCCCAATGTAGGAATACTCTCTGCTTCTCATGATGGGTGAGCCTTATCTCATGACGTTTTTCCAATTGCTGATGGCCTTGTTTTGGGGGAACGTTACAGTTATACAGTAATTTAGTGTTGGCTGAATACTAGAATCAGGTCAATATTATACTTAGAAATCAATCAATTTTTGTAAAATTTGAACACAGGTTAAAGCAAATTTAAATTGGCAGCTGACAATTGTGTGTCCATTGTTTCAGGTCATTGAGGTTATGGGCATTGAGTGGAGAGCAGCTGTTGGAGTTTGTGGGGCACACTGCCATTGTCTATTCTGTAGCTGCACACTCTTCAGGCGATATTGCGTCTGGTAGTGAAGATGGTTTTGCCAAAATTTGGAGAGGTGCCAACGTCTTCATTATATATTTGACTTTGCGTCAAGTTGTAGGAACTATCTAATCTTGAATGAAAATGAATCTTGTCATTTCTTTTTTTATGTTTCGTTTCTTCGACTCAATCACAATGCCTACTTGCTGTTTTATCAACTCGGTAATTAGTTGATGGTATGACGTTAGGTTCTTTGTTGATAAATCAAATAAAATAACATTCTTACATACTTTAGTCGATTTTGTTTGCAGGAGGCGTTTGCGTCCAGAGCATAGAGCACCCAGGCTGTGTTTGGGATGTGGCCTTCCTGCCGAATGGGGATTTAGTGACGGCATGCTCAGATGGTGTGGCCCGTGTGTGGACTCGCGAGAGAAAGTTCTTTGCCCCAACTGAAGAGATGGAAGCATACCTTTCTCTCATATCAACTCGCAAATCCGCAGCGTTGGTTCCTTCTCATCACCCACTGTCTTGCTTATTATTTACATGTTTTGATGCATTTGTTTTCATACTTGCAATCGCTTAGTACTTGTGTTTTTGAGTTCATAATTTGTCAAGCTTGATGCAGCTGGTGTTCCATTTCCGTAGATCTCTTCGTTAAAATCTTGTGGAATTAAATTTTCTCTTTTCATTTTGTTGGTATATTGAATGTGAGTGTGAATTGCATGTTTTTACTGTGGGGGACTAGTAAAAAACTTTACTTTTAATCTCAAACTTTTATTTAATGTTTCAGAAAGACAGTGGGTGGCGTGAAGGTCGATGACTTGCCTGGCATCGAAGCCCTGCAGGAACCTGGTAGGTGATTACTATCTTATAATTTTCTTCTGTAGATTTTGTCTTCAACGTGAAGAGTTGTCATAAAGTTGGAAGGTAAAAGGTACCTACCGTGATGTACTTTTTTATGCCTTATAGATGTTTTTGTTGAATTACGTAACTTGCATGTAGTTTTAGAGTTACTGTGTCATTATAAGTACCCGATACAACCTTTATTGTTCTAACGTTGTGCTCTACTTTCTTTCCTTTGACTAAATATCATTTTTAGCGAACCGACACTTTCTTAAGCTACATTGATGTTTTGGTGAATGACAGGAACCAAAAATGGTCAAACGCGGATTGTAAGGGAGGGTTCTAGTGGCGTTGCTTACTCCTGGAATCTGAACGAGTACAAATGGGAAAAGGTGCTTTATTGGAATGTGTAACTCATTTTGTTTGTGAGACATGCAGTCGAATTGTGAAATTAAGTTGCTTAAGTTCTGCTCAAGTTTCATGAACCGTTACACCACGTAGGAACCGACAAAATTGAATTGAAGGCTTTAGAATCATATTTAGAGTCTTTTGATTATGTATAGCAGGTTAGAGTCTGATTCTTACCTATGCAATACTTGTGGCAGATTGGAGAAGTGGTAGATGGGCCAGGAAACAGTGCTGATACTAAGACCCTTCACGGTGTTACTTACGATTATGGTACCTTGCTAAACTTGGTCCGCTTACTATGTTTTTTTCTTTCTCTGATGGATTTACTGTCTAAAACTTACATGCACATGGACTGATGAGTTGTGGTTGTTACAGTCTTTGATGTAGACATTGGAGACGGCTTGCCAACGCGAAAGTTACCTTACAATGTCGGGGGTAAGTTTGTCGCAGGTGACGGCTAGATTGCAGTGGATGGCTATTTGCTTACATCTTAGTTGCATATTAATTATTAATATTTTTATTTCAGATTTGGTTCTGTCGATATGAATTAATTCTATATTCTTGGATTCGATGCTCTTACTGAGGCCATCCTGTATGTCTGCTGATGGAAATGTCTTGTAGACAATCCCTACGATGTTGCGGATAAGTGGTTGGATGAAGAAGGGCTGTCACCTGGCTACAGGCAGCAAGTTGTTGACTTCATTCTCCAGAATACAGGCGGTGCTGCTGCCTCATCAAACTTTGACCCTAATTTTGTCGACCCATATACCGGAGGTAAGTTTTGTACAGACAGGAATATTTAAGTCTGACTTGGTCCATAGCGTTTCTGAAGAAATCAAACGTATGTGGTGGATTTTTAGCAGAGGTTTTATAGTTCTAAAGCATTTTACTTACTTTGAACACGATTTGCTCACAAGTGGCAATATAAATCTCGTTTGTGCGTAGGCTTGTACTGCGCAGTCTAAATTACATTGCATTCCTTAAAGTTGGAGGAACAATTTGAGTTATACTATCTGGGGTCTTATCTGATCTTTCAAATTAGACCATGGTAACCATTTGCAAGTAGTGATGCTACAGCTGATTTAATGTGGTCGTTGAATATACAGCCAATGCGTATGTACCTGGACAGCAAACCCGTCAACCCCAAGCTTCCAGTAAGCTGCCTCAACACGATAAATTACAAGCTTTGTGATGATTTGGCCAGATTTATTTCAGTTGTCTATTGGATGTCGGCTAGGATTTTTGTGAGGCACTTCTACTCGTAGTGATCCCGATAGTTCCTCAGAATTTAGAAGGGGGCTCTCATTTGCTGTGGCTGACAGGACCTGCGCCTGTTTCCTCTACACGCAGCACACCAACTTACAAGCATATTCCGATGGTTCGCATCTTCATTCTTATCTGCAATTCCCTTTGGTTAGAGCATTTCCTGGTTTGGGTGTCAATGTTAAGCTCTTTCTATGAAGTAACAAGTGGAATGTTTTGCGGTATATAGGAACTTTTTTCCTGTCAGTGAACAGTGTAGGTAATTTTACTACTCGATTGCGTATAATGACAACCTCAATTGTTACAACTTCCAGAAGGGAATGCTGTTCTTCGACACTGCTGCATTCGAAGGCATCATCAAGAAGTTAACTGAGTTCAATTCCACATTGGCAGCACATGAGGTACTTTCTGATGAGTCGTAGTTTATGTTTAAGTTAAAGCCAGTGTGTACCGCGTATGACATGCCAAATCGTACTCTATATATTTTCTGCAAGAATATATTTTTCCGAGTTGTTACAATTATTCAAGATGTAGGTCTCTATCGTGTGCTACTCGTGGTTATATGGCTGCATGTAATGCGTCTTGATAAAGTCACTGCATTCTTTTTGTACATCTTGATAATTGTGTGCAGGCGCATAGAGAGTTAGCTCTAAATCAAGCAGATTCAATGAGGATACAGGCTATGATTGCTACTCTTAAAGAAACGTCTCTTTATCATGCCTCCTCCTTTGCTGATGTTGACTTTAAACTACTTACAAGGATGGTATTACAATGGCCTATAGAAAACATTTTTCCAGGTATACGAATTCTAGCTGTTTTCACCTCATTGTGACTTGTCTGTAATCTATGAGAGTGCTTTTTTAGCATGCAAAAGATCCTTATCCACCTCGGTCAGAATTTGGTTCCCGAGTTCGTTGTAAGCGAGCTCATCAAAGCGCCATGTTTTCGAAGGTGGTTAATAACTGTGTTTTGGTTATTGCTTGGAATTTACGATTACTTGCAGTTTTGGATCTGATGCGAATGATGCTTCTGCATCCACAATGTGCTATTTTCTTTGCCAATGCGACGACTGCTGGAAATGGTATTTGTTTATTTATTTATTTTTATTCTTAATGCTGTCACTGAAGTTTTTTCTAGAATTGTTGATTTGCATGACCTTGAGAACTGAAAGATACTGTAGAAATGCTGTGGCATGGCTTATGAGATTAGCTCCACTTTTTGAATGTATGTTTCGGGATTTACATAAAAAATTGAGCTACTCATTGAATTTGAACACAACAAATTCGACAGATAATGCTGACAATAAAGAGTTCAACAGATGTTTTATTGGAGGCTCTACGACGGGCCACTGGCGAGCCAGTGTTAGTGCCAAATTTACTCACAAGCGCTCGTGTGGCCGTCAATGCATTCAAGCATTCTGTTCTGAGAAATTGGGTCGTCAAGAATAGGAGTGAGGTACCATATCTCAATGTCACATTGTGAAGTGTTTTTCCAATTTCTTAAGTAATTTTCGATGATTATTGTGGGTGTTAAGAACTATCTTTCTATCCCTGGGCTCATATAGATTTCCTAGGTTCTCTCAGTTCCAGGTATGTGTTGGATGTGAACCTTGCATTTCTCTCGCTGGAACTAACACAGTTTACTCGATCGTGGTGTAACTGTTCAGATTTTAGATCTTTTTTCTGGATGTTGCGCATCTATGAACAAGAATGTTCGCCTGGCTTATGCCACCTTGGTTATCAAGTACGTTACCGGTGAAGCGCTGTTATCGTGTTTTGAAATAAACTACTGCTGTATCAAATTTAGACCTGATTATATCACACATGGATCAGTATGCGTGTTATCACCACCTGGAAATAACTGATTTAAAATTAACTTAATCTGTTTGATTTTTCCTATGAGCTGTTTGTTTCCCATTTGCTTTGGTGAAATAATCTGATCTGGAATATGACTCGCAGTTACTCCGCGTTGTTGTTGGAAACAAATGATGAGGAAGGACAGATTCAAGTTCTGTCCGCTGCTGTAGAGGTAGTTATTGCTTTCTTAAACAGAACCCAACATGTCTTCGGTCTTTTTTCTGTTTTAGTTTGTTTGTTAGTTTTACTCGCTTTCTATATTGAATAACATCTGCTTGGAACTCCTCGTATTTTGGCACGACTTTTGCACGTGACCTTGAACCTTATCCACCGTATGTTTTGGTCCATTTTAACGTAAACAAGTTGCTTAAGAACCAAGATTTATTTCATGGCGGGACTAATGCTGGGTATGACGGGAATGCGCTGCATGCTTTTATTATATGTAAAAACTTTGCCCATTACTACATGTGCAGATGGCAGATTCTCAGGAAGCAGATGTTGAAGTGAGATTTAGGGCCCTCGTTGCTCTAGGAACTCTGGTATTTTTTCATTACCATCCTTGTTTTTATCAAAGTAGTTTTTCAAGAACACAAGTCATGCTAAACTCAGTTGAAGGTGGTCAGATATAACGATTGTCGAGCTTTTTTCGTCTCTTGCTGTTTCACATGAAACATCTGCTTTGGAATTGTTCAAGACAAATTTAGTTGCATAACTTTGTATTTTGTCTTACATAGTTATTGCCCTAATTTATCAATTTGGATGTTGCAGATTCATAGCAGTGGTGTAAAGAGTGTAGCTGTGGATTTAGATGCGAAGAGTTTAGCTGCAGCTGCGTGCAAATCATCTGTGCCTAAAATTGCTGAAGTTGGCAGAGATATTGACAATTTGCTGAAGTAGTATGTGCATCTTTTGTTTATTTGTGTTACTATTTTGTTCAAATCTTTGACACTTATTTCAGTGCGGTTGCACGAAGGCGGACATCACCTTTTACATGTGCCCTGGGACCCAAGGTTATGCTCGATGTGCTCCAAGATTGAGTTCTCATTTCGTGTATCGGACCTTCATAAGTTTCTGAAGAATTCTGAATTCAGGAAACGGTAGATAGTTCCACTTTCTTGTATATTTAAGTTTTTGGAATTGGAAACATCCTACCATATTGGGAGATAGAGAATGTGACAGTCAAGTTTTCAGAAGAATATTGTATCTAGATGTCCTTACTCAGATTAACCAATTCGTACAAATGGATAGCATGGGGTGTAACAGACATTGCCTTCCAGATTGATTTATGTGTTGACCTCTTGACTATGTAGGTTGGGTTTTTTCATAACTTTCCTGTTCTGAAATCTTTGTTACTGTTTCAATATTGTCGAGAGTTCTTGTCATAATTGTGTGAAGTACATGTACCACTTCGCAGGTTGAGAAGACTTGGTATTGAATCATCTAAAAGTGTGTAAAAGCCAGTAGATGTAATCGAATTCTGTTGTAGCTCCGCTGTTCTAGATTCGATCAACATTAGCATGGCTAAATCTCGAGCTTCATATATAGTACTATTTGGTCTTGGGATAACATACGAGCATTCATAATATTATGTAAAAATACTATTATTATTGTCCTTTTGTCGTTGTAGTTAAAATTACAGTTGAGGTTTCAGGGAACTGTTTTTGTTTTTAAATTAAGACCATAACTTGTGGGTAGAGAGTGATTCAGTACATGTGGCTATTGGACATCTCCAACATGAACTCATCTGGGCTTGAATACTACACAATTGGAACCATAATCCAAAGTATATTAAAATCATTTTCGTATGTTTCCCAAAATTACTACCCTCTTCCTGTGTCACAAGTTTGAAATCATCACTATAAAATAAATGACGGACGCTAGTGTTGAGAAAATCATTAATCTCTTGGTCCCACAATGAAGACACAATAGATAGGTTCCAGTAGGGGTATTCAACATTTTAACTTACTGCTGCGAAAACGGACCTGAATTCTGCTTGCAGGGATCATAATATTCGTAAAAATGTGGAGGAACACTGTAGTTTGTACCAAATTCTGAAGCTAAATGTCCGCCGTAGCTTCGTGTAGGATGCTTTCTTCATAGAAGCATAGAGAAGTGGGACTGGTGATAGGCTGTACCACTGAACAAATTCTTAATGGCTGTTGATGAATGCGGCGACATCAAGGAACATTTTGGGTCCCACCTTAGCCTGATTCAGGAGAGCGAATGTATGTATCCCTTCCTCATAGAAAATCGTTTGCACCTGCTTTCCAGCTTTCTGCAAACCCTCCGCAAATCGCATCTGCCGTAAACAGTCAATGAACAATCAGGACATAAAACAAAAACAAAACAAGAAGCTATGCTCGTGGCTCCTAGAAGCAGAGGAAATAAAGGATAAAAGTTCATATGACTTCTAAAATTTCAGGGATCAATTCTGCAGTTTCTCAACCTTACTAGACATTGAAGAATAATTACCCACAATGGCTAGATTAAGAAAGGGTCGGTTAGTTGTAGCATGTACTCATAACAATCATAGAGCTTCTACCATTCCTCAACTCGTCGCAAGTGAAGTTACAGGCAGAACTGATCTGGAGGCAGAGTTGGGTGGAGAAAAACAGTAAACTGAAATTGCTAACCTCCCAATCTTGTAAGATATCCAAACCGCCGACAATGTTAAGAAATGGGGGCAAGGAAACATCAGACAAGTCCGAGGAGTTGGGCCCGAAAATGTTGCAGGCTGGGTGGTCTCGATTGGAGCCTTTAGGCAAGTAAGACTTCCAGTACCAATCCAAGCTCTCCACAGAAACCAACGGAACGTTCTTGAGGCGAAGCTCAGCTGGTGTCCTCTCCTCCCCACCAAAGAAGCCCTGAATTATCACCACACCCTTAAGACTCACGCGACCCAAGTCCTTTCTGGCTGATTGCAGAGCCATGTGATAGGCTATGTTAGCGCCAGCACTGTCTCCACACAGAAATACCCGGGAGAAATCCACGTTTAGAGGAAGAGATGCGGTTGCTTTCTCCGATTGAAGCCACTCGAGGCCTTTGAACGAGTCATCGTATGCCGTGGGGAACTTAAATTCGGGTGCTCGCCTGCACAAGACGTTCAATCACTTCCGTCATTTATTGACTTGAAGCCAAAAAACAGAATTACAGTTCTCGATATTCACCAACTTATCCACTTCAAATATCATTTCCTGTGAAGTGATTAGATTTACTGAATTTTCTGTGAGGAAATCAGTATGAAGAGGCAGAGAAAAACACATCAGAAGATCCGAACGCTGACCTGTAATGTAGTGAAATCACAACTGATTTACAGCATTTAGCTAAGCGCCGACAAAATACATCGTACAAATAGAAATCGGGACACAAAATAGTAAACCCGCCTCCGTGGTAGTAATAAACGATTGGCATGGTCTTGTTGGACTCTATCTGGGTGTCGTTGGACGCCGATTTCGAAGGGGTCTCCACCGTCTCCTCAGTTGGGATAAATAGTCGAACCCAAACTCCAGCTTCGGGGTCAATTGTAACATCAACAGTGTGCACTCCTTTGATTGGTTTCGGATTAGCAGGAACCTTCCTCTCACATACATCCGCAAGCCAGCGGTTGATGGTGCCATCCTTTCGCCGAGCCAGGTCATTGGCTTTTACAACAACCTTGCACAGTAGACGCAATTGCATCATGGAAGCCATCTGCAAGTCATACAGCATCCCCAAGGTTAAAAATTCAAAATTTCAAACTGCTGCAGAAAAACAGAATTGCGAACACGGCCATGACCTCCAACTCTTCATCAATGCCATGCTTCATCAAAACCACATGGGGATAAGAAAGTGATTTAAGTTTTTGATAGAGGATGAAAGGTGATCTGAAGGGCTGAAGAATCCCAAAGCACAATGTGTACAAACGGAGTCCACAACTTCTCGACGGTAAGGAGTACAAACTCACGAAACCAAGATGCTGGAAAGCAAAAATGATGCTGCGACGCCTAAAGAGTTAAAGCAATACAAGCAATCAGCCTATAAGGTTCCACACGCTCTACTCACTCCACTTCGAAATGGTCGCCTCATGCAGAAAACAACTCACACTCTGTGTGCAACGCCAGCGAGTTGCACGACTCGATCATGAAACAAGAGCAGATTATCCAAGTCCTCATTCACATACACAAAACTGCAGTAGGAGCCAAAACCCACTCCGAAGAATATCATACAATCCTACGAGATGGACTCTCATGTGCACAGTAACTCACGCACCACCGCGGTACGAGACACCAATCGCGAAATTGTACCGACTAACCCCCGCGCACTCTCTGTCGTCGAATTGTTCGGTCATCACGCAAACTTCCTCTGCACTTCCTCTCAATTATAATGAATCATGCACCGCGACCCGCCGCAGGTGTGAATCCAGACCACCTACCAGTGACAATGCCTCAGGCCGGGCATTAATGAGCTTCGAGAGGAAGAATGTGCACCTCCGCTGTAAACATCAGTGGGGCCTCGCGGTACTCGATACTATTTACTTATTTCTCCCATAATATATATTATTATTTGGTGGTTCAAAAGATACATGTTAAGATAGAGCTAGGACAAATTTACAATTTGGTATTTATTAAAGTACTTGAAGATGGTTTTGTGAAACTTTTTGAAGGTTTACACATTTTTCTGAGAATTTATTTTTGAAAAGATCAAACTAAAGGTGATTAACTTATTATTATATTGTCCAAAAAGAACAATTGTAAGCTAGTTTTTTCCTGTAATATCCTTTTTTTCAATATGTTGTTTTTAGCACAGATACTAATGTGATATATTTATGATAATAAAATTTGATTTTTAAAATATTCTAACTGATTTGTGGTTCAATACATAAATAATATATGTATACAAAAACTAAAACTGGAAATTAACATTATTGGAATAAATACTATGGGAGAAATAAGTAAAACAAAATATAATGATGAGAAGAAAAACATGTAAATATAATTTTCATCAATTTTACAATAAATACATTTATTTATTGTATCCAAAAATAATAACAATATCTATTTTTCAGTTAAAGTAGATATTTTTAGTTAGAATAGCTCAATAAAATAACCTGCACAAGGTTGGAAACAGTTTTTAATAGTATGTATTTTAAAATAGATTGGTAATAAAAGTTCCAGCATACATAGTGGCTCTATCAATATTTTTTGGCATTGGCAAATGAGCTCATATAAAATTTTGATACTCCAAAGATTTTGTTCTGTTTTGAGGTGTTTTGTAACAACTTATTTCAGAGTCGTTTATGCCATTTATACTTAATAATATGATTTATAATACATATTATCATATATGAATTGCTACTGAAACCAATCCCACAATCATAATCAGGTGTTATTGTCCATTCTTTCTTATTTTAGTTTTCTACATTTACTTCAAATAATTAATTAATAACTTTTGATGTTCACTAATTGGCACGGTTTAACATACTCTATGAATTGTGTAGTTGTCAATACATAATAGCTACATTCAATATGGGTTTAGAATGTATTTTTCATTACGCTTGCTGGTATTTATAATCATCTGCTGCTTCAATTTAAAACACTCTAATTTTCAGATATGCTGCTGTTGTTGTTGTTGTTGTTGTTTTTCTTTTCTGATGATTCATTTTTTGGTACAGATTTAAAAACCCAAAGTGCATTCAAAATATATCAATATTTTATGACATAATTTTATCTCATGGCGTGTTATATAAAACCTGATGGTTGCTCAATCATGCATAAAAACTTTAAAAATTGAAATTCTTGAAATTTAATATATATTTTTGTAAATATTATTTGGATTTTTTTTTATTCTTCTAGTCTAGATATATAGGATACGTTTTTGAGAATGATATATATATATATATATATATATATATATATTTACATATCTTCAAATAACTAAACAAAATGAAACATAACAAAAAATAAAATAAAAACTAGTGGCAATTTTAATATATACATACATATTTATTTTTTTGTGAAGATTAGAAAAAAATTACAAAAAGCAATGTGAATCATAGACGATTCTGTGAAAGAAAAGTCTTGCTATGTTTGAAGTATTATTTAGAAAAAAAAAAAAAAAAAAGAAAAAAAAGAAGAAGAGATCTGTTAAAGAAAACGTTCTAGATGTTTAAACCTACTTTTTCCCTCTATTTTCATGCAATAATTTTTAAATTATAATAATGATAATAAAGATTAAAAAATAGTTTATTAAACAATGACGTGGATGTTAACCATACTATTGTTGACCTCATTTGTTCTTATTCTTATAATTATTCTAAGGAAGTTAAAAATCATGAGTTTGGAAGAAATCTACTGGTGTTCTACTAGACCACTAATATCATTTAATTAAAAATACTATTTCTTCTAGTTTTTCTGTCAAAATTATAGTGAGGGGCATCTCATGAAGAAAATAAGTTGGAGAAAGGTTTATGTATAATACATGGAGTCTAATTTCTTTTAATGGATTAGACTCAATTGACGTCCCTTTTTGACACTCTATAGTTTCTTAAAGTTGACAATCCAAAAGTGGTCAACATTGGTTGTTAGACTATTAAAACAAAGCAAAGAAAAATCTTTGAAGAATTCAATCAAAAAATAAAATAAAATCCCTTAAGGAGATTATTAAATAATCAAACTTTATAAAAAAAAGATAAAAGTAAAAAATCAATGAGAAGTTAATACTCTAATCCTCATTCTATTCTCTTCTCTTTCCCCTTCTTCAAGTGCTTGTATACAATCCTCAAACACTAATCCCTAATAATATTACCCCAATTAAGCTACCTTTACAATCAACATCTTCCACATATGCCCCCTTTTTTTTGTCACACCCAAAACCTCAAAAAAATGAATTCTTTTCACCCATTTCCATGGTCTATAAACCACTTACTTATGACTCCCACAATAAACTCTTCAAAAAAATTAAAAAAGAAAAGAAAAGCAAAGAAAAGAAAGATTTTGTAAAGAATCATGTTCATTGTTATTGTAGAAAAAAGAAGACATGGAAGGTGGAATAATATCTCACACATGTGAAGCTGATATTGTTTGTAAGCATCCCCAAACAATTATTTAATTATTCATTTATTTATTTATTCCTCTGACAGTCCTTTCACAACAATCAACATAAAATAAAGTGTTCATAACTCCAATTTCTGTGTGGAATTCATCCTCTCTCTGAACCAAAAACATTCATCCACAACGCATCGATATCATCCACGGAACTCATCCATCCAAAACACATCCACATGACATTATTTCATCTGTAGATACATCCATCCATTCGCCCTGTCGGACTTCGCAGAGGGTGGGCGTCGTTTTCGATGGGCAATTCCCGGACCAAACGCGAGAATGCGAGGATCGCGGTTACTCGCATCGTCGCAGTGAGCAGCAGCAGGCATTAGTGAGGAGGAATTGGGATTTTTTTTTTTCTTTTTTATTTTGGTTCAAATACGGCGACTAAAGCCCCGCAGCCACCTCAGAAGCCCATGCGAATGCCGCTGCCTAACCAGTTTTCCTCCACGTGACCTTCGAAGCCGCAAAGGGCCAGCAAGCCAGCCAGCCAGCCATCACACTCCCTTCGCCTTCCCCGTCTCCTTGATCCGATTCTTCCCCCTCTCGTCTCCATCCCCATTCATTCTCCATTCTTCTTGTGTCGGAATTTCACGGACTAAGCATCGCTTGGGGTCGATCACTTGTTGGATCTCCCTCAATCGGGCCGCTAGTCACAGCGTTGCTTTTTGCAAATCGTAGACGCAATGCCGCGGGTGAGTTTCGTGTTGGGGTTGCATCTCTTTGTGGGTTGCACTCACGGGATTCTGGTTGTGGGGTTGTTTCGAGTTTACTTTGGTGGGTTTTCTTTGTTCTTTTTTCCATGGCTCGATTTGGTCGATTTTGGGGCGTGTAATTTGGGTGGGGATTTTGTGTGTGAGTGATCCGTGTAGGTGGGTTTGAGAAAGGTTTTGAATTCTGAGTTGGGTTTAATCACGATCGGTGGTTAGGTCAGTTGTGGCTTGGTGGACTTCGTGTTTTTGTGGGGTTTGGAATTAGCACCTGGCTTTTGTTGTTTTTTATTGTTTAGAGTAGGAGGAATTGATTGATACGTGAGACGGGCGTGTGGTTGGCGATGTAGCCATCGTGGTTGAGGAGTTATCTTGGTTGTGATGGTGCTCTACGTGTAATGTGAACCGTTGATTTGTGTCGTTGATAACATAATTCTAGGCTTAGGTCTTTTGACGTTAGTTGGCTTGTTTTTACTCAGGCGGTGAAGTTGCTGCTGGATCAGCTCAAGCCATCGCACTCTGCACGATGGTCCCGGTATTATCAAGCCTCATCGGCTGCCTCAAATGCGGTATGTATCATTTACTTCCCGTCATGGACTCATCTAGCCTGTGTTCTCGGTGTTGGTTAGAGGAAATTATAGTTGGTTCTCTTTGAGGGGATCAATCATGGCATGCTTACTTTTCAGTCCTTTGCCAGCTTCGATTCTTGTCGAAAATTGCAAATGGATTATTCTCATCAGCAATTGAGCAGAAACCCCCTGTTGTCTCTCCTTTTTGAATTGTACAGCTGAGGAGGAAGTGTAGAAGTGATCACTAGCTGTTACGCTTTAGACTACAATTGGTTTCGTTACTTTCTTCGTTACCAAAGTCTGCATGCGTTATGACTGAGTACCTTCTGTGCTTTTCAATATTTGATTTAACGCTGCTTCCTTGACAATGTGATCAGTATCTGACTTTATGTCAGCACAAAACTATTATGTATGGTCTGATCACGAATGTGCAGTCCACGTGTGTATGCATTCATGAGAGTGGGTGATAAGGAGTTGATTTGACAAGAGATTCTATCCTTTGAGCCCAGTTCCGTTGTTACTTTGCTGTATTGATTGCTGGAAGAATCTAGATTGATTTAGTAACGCGTACTGCATTTGGCTATCTTTGCGTCGCCGTAGGTATAATTAAGTAGATTACCTCGGGTTTATTTAGTAGTATACATAACAAACATTTCGGTCTAAGTTCAACTTGGCTAGTTGAATCGCTGGTCACAGTGGATTTTTCAGCCGAATTCATTTTGTTCGTGAAATGGACACTGCTGTATTGACAATAACCAGCAATGATATATCGTATTATCGACGCGAGTTTTGACACTGTTAAGTTGTGGTTAAGTAAACTTTCTTTGCATCTGTGTGATGACACATTTGGACAAGAGCTGTTACGAGAGATTGGCTATAAACTGTTTCCTCTATGTGACTTGTTTTGCATGCAGGACCTGCGAGCCAAGATTGCGGAAATGGTCCCAGATGAGAGGGCAAGTGAACTGCATATGTGGCTCATTTCTTAATTCGCTTTCAAATATACTTTGTGTGCACTGCTTTTTCCTGATATTGCTTACATGAGCACAGATTGATGGCACTTGACCAATGCCAGCCGACTTCTTTGCCGAGGCTATTTCGGTACTTGACGAAATCTTCTATGGAACCCTTCTTTGGAATAATTTTGAAGTGTTGCACAAATGCAGGAAAAGCTGAAGGCGATTAAAAGCAAGTATGGAAAAGTTTCACTTGGAGAGACCACGGTTGATATGGTATGAGAACCTAAATGTTTTTCAGACATCCTGGTGGAAAGATTTGCTAAGAAAGCATCAGTATTTTAGTGTTTGTCCAAATGTAAGATGTCATTTTAAACAACTCTAGTCAAAGGGATGGTTCTGATTTGGCCATGATTATGTATAATATTTATCATTGGATGTTTTTGCTCTTGATGATATCTATCAGGCAATTGGTGGAATGCGCGGCATCAAAGGTATGCTATGGGAGACATCCTTACTTGATCCTGAGGAGGTAAGTGCTATGCTTCTCTGAAAGTCATTCATCGTCTGTCAGGAAGCATATTACCTTCTAAGAGTTCATTCTTTGGCTAGTTTACTATGGAAACACTAGCCGTAAGTGCAAGACTGTAATCCTACAAAATAGTGCTTAAAGTACCGTAAAGCTTTTCGGAAGAATTAATATTTACTGTCTGCCAGCTAATATGCATCCCGTTCCAGGTGGAACTTGACAACCTGCACGATAGATTTCCATGAAATTTATCATTTAAGAATGGTTGCAAGTTCTCTCCAAAGTGATGGTTTTTTCCCAAAAGTAGATCCTGGGAAGCTAATGGTTGGGCATTTTGTAGGACTGAGCGTTTCACCCGAATAATTGATCTGTATACTTCTTGTTGCAGGGCATTCGCTTCAGAGGCATGTCAATTCCTGAATGTCAGAAAAAGCTTCCAGCAGCTATACCTGGTGGTGAACCGATCCCCGAAGGCTTTTTGTGGCTCCTTTCGACTGGAGAGGTACTGACGTCACTTCCAAATCAGTTTAGGGTCGAATTTGTGGGTTCTTGAGGGTGTTTTTAGGTGCTGGATCAAGCGTAAAGTGTCTGCAGGCCCGATTAAAATTTGTGTGTTCATGCAGGTTCCAACCAAAGAGCAAGTCAATGCACTGAGTGAAGATTTGCGATCTCGCGCAAAAATCCCAGGTATAGGGTAGCTGTAGAGAGGCGGAGAAGTTCTGGATTATATTGGTCATGTGAATTAGGTGTTTGTCTAAGACTGCTGGTGGAACTGGCAGCATGAGACATCTTTTTAGTGGAGTACGCTGTATGGATAGTTCATTCTTATATGCTTGTAAAGGTGGAGTATGATATTATGTACCGAGTAAGGCTCGTACATTAGAGCATTGAATGCCTTTTAAGTGTTCCAACATAAACCTCGGGGTATGGAATTGCTTCCTCAGGTCACGTGTTTGATGTCATCAACGCACTCCCAAAGACTGCACATCCCATGACCCAGTTAACGACAGGCATCATGGCCCTTCAGGTGTATTTTAATCAAGAGCATGTTCTACCTATTTTGATTATTTGTCAATGTGACAGTATGCAATTGTTCGCTTCTTTTTGCAGTATGTACTTGCAATTTAATCCTTTATTTCTACCTCATGTGAATGCCATACTTTGAACAACTTTTTGTTTGTCCTTATTTCATCACCATCATCATATGAAGAATTCAATTCTATTTCGCTATAGTTGCCGCAATACATGTGCCTAACAATTTCGTTTGTCAGTTCAGACTGAAAGTGAATTCGCAAAGGCTTACGAAGGCGGATTGCACAAGAGCAAGTATGTTCAACTTCTCTACATTTTGGGTGTCTCTGATACTTTGCTACTCTGACACTCTGCAACTTATGAAGTCTTCCTGTTTGACAATTGAAGAAAAAACCTAATGCTTTTGGAAGTATTGGTTGTGCTTGAAAAGAACTTCGTCAACTTGGATAGTGTGAACTATAATAATATTTTGAACATCAAGGAAGCCATATCTCAGTTTTCTAATGCTCTAATTTATACAGGTACTGGGAACCAGTTTATGAGGACTCTATGAATCTGATTGCCCGCTTGCCAGAGTTAGCTGCGTACATATATCGGAGGTAAGCTACATTCAGTTGCTGTCTCTTGGTCATGCTTGGAATTTTACTCAGCATCTGCCATGAAGTACTAGTCCTTCAATTGATAAATGCACAAACTACAAATGCTTGTTGTTTTTGAAACTATGTGGTAAGCTCTATCTTTATGCATCGTTGGGGCTGTTTTCTGTAGGGTGTATAAAGGTGGAGATGTGATTGCAGCAGATTCAAGTTTGGATTACGCCGCTAATTTTGCTCACATGTTGGGCTTTAAAGATGAGTTGATGCATGAGTTGATGCGCCTTTACGTGAGCATTCACAGGTATTTTCAAGCTGGATGCTTAAGATACCTTGTTTTTGTCCTTCAATTTTGGTAATTTACTAATTTGCTAATATATTGAAACCAGAGGGCTCAAAGATATTTGGAGCCTTCATTGTGTGCAGGCATTCAAGCTAGAGCAGATTTAATTACAGTATTATCTAGGTTTTTTTGCTTCCTTTTGAGGTCGATGAGTAACTCTGTTAAAGGACTGGTACAATTGTGTTAGTGATCACGAAGGAGGCAATGTAAGCGCACACACTGTCCACTTGGTACGCTATTTCCCTCTGTACCTGAAGTTACGAAATCCTAATGAAATATTATTTTTACGGTGAAAGTCAAAATATTTCGTGGTGTTTAGTGGTACATTTGCAGGTTCGTAATACCCAGTTTCTGTGCGAAGCATTTTATTTGAGAGTGTTCTGCTGTCGTTTCATTTCGATGAATATTTATTATGAATTTTAACCTGGTTCTTTTTAACACCTATCTGAAAATGTTACCTCTGCCAGGTTGGGAGTGCTCTATCGGATCCATATCTGTCTTTTGCTGCTGGAATGAACGGTTTAGCAGGCCCTCTGCACGGGCTTGCAAATCAGGTCAGTCTCATAACTTTGAAAAATGTTCTCTAATATCATGATATAATAAGCGAAGGTTTTGTGATCAGTGACAGATTGATATGGATATGGGGGCTTTGTTCTCAACGAGATGTACTCTCTCGCACATTATTTACCATTCATTAACTTCCTGGTTGCCTCACTATATCCACAATTCTGCGGCAAAACCAAGTATTGTTCGTACATATGTCAAAGCAATTGTAGTACTTGAGAAGTGCTTCCACGTCGTCATTTGGCATGTATTTGACTTTCAAATGCATGGCTGCACTTGATGATGGTTGACAGACTACTGACCTTTTAAACAAAATATGTTTTCACTTCTCTACCTCCAATCAACAGTTTAGGACCACACTGGTTCGGAAGGGTCTGAGCTATGTCATCTGATTTTTATATATATATTTGAAATCTGAATCATTAAGAACTTACCTCGACAGCGAACTCCTTTTCCCTAGATGATATGGAATATTGCTAGTTGCTTGGAGCTGATATCCCTGCATTCCTCTAAAATTGGAAAAGCTTCTCATCGAACATCTAATTCAGCTTTCTTTGTTTGACTGATATGGTTTTTATGTGTTCTTAGAACGTTCACTAATTATAATTGATGTTGCAGGAAGTGCTGCGCTGGATTCAGCAAGTGGTAGATGAAATTGGTAGTGAAGTCTCACTCGATCAACTTAAGGACTACATTCATAAGACCTTAAAGAGCGGTCGGGTACGTCCATTCTCAATTATGTTAGCCGCAAGAAACTATCTGGGTGAAATTGCTTTAACTACACGTTTAAAGTGTCAACATCTGTGGATACTGCAGTTTATTTCGAACCCAGCTAATTTTTGTTGTAGTCGTTTTATCTTGTGTATTTTAAAGAGGAAAATTGACAAAAATAATTTTTACACTTCGTTGAAACAGGTTGTACCTGGGTTTGGGCATGCTGTGCTGAGGAAAACTGACCCCCGATATATATGTCAGCGTGAATTTGCACTTAAACATCTTCCCGAAGATCCCATGTTCAAGATGGTATGATTTCTATCTACAGTCTATTTTTGAAATGGTAAGAACGACCATGTAAAATGTAGACAACTTTCTGTATCATAAATTGTAAGTGAATGTCCCATCAAGCATTCCTGAGTAATCCATGCATTACAATGTTGGAAATAATCCGTTCGTGCAATGATTACATCCTGGTATGTATCCAATTGTGATGAGGTACGTTGAATACAAATAATTTTTCATTCGCTTTAAGGCAAGGTTCATACACCTGAAGCACGTCAATACCCCAGAAATGAAGTCCGAACTCACTGAGTTTTATGACCTGTAGTTCTTCAAAATGAAAATATTGTTTTGCTTGGTTGATCAAATCTCATGTATCTGGTGTAAAAATAGAGGCTCTATATTAACATGTCTTGGACATGTCATGCTTTGCAGGTATCGAAATTGTTTGAGGTGGTTCCTCCTATTCTTTTGGCAGGCGGAAAGGTAAGTTTCGAAGGTTTAAGAACTTTATGAAGTAGTCGCCGTCAAGAAAAAAAATTCCACTTCTTTTGAAGTCATTTTGAAGTCTTACTTGTGTTCGTGTGCGAGTGATCAGGTCAAGAACCCCTGGCCTAATGTGGATGCTCACAGCGGTGTCCTGCTTCAGTACTACGGCTTGAAAGAACAGAAGTGAGTTATAATACCTGCAACGTTTTATAGTTGCCCTTTCTGGCGTAATATGACATTGTACAATGTTCTCCTTTACCATTGTATGGTGTGATGTTCACCTGCTATAATTAACATCCTAATTTTATTTTTTGACTTGATCGATTACAGCTACTACACTGTGCTTTTTGGAGTATCACGTGCCATGGGTGTCCTCTCTCAGGTATGCTCTTCCTTTGACTTTAGATATTGAATATGCTCAACTTACACTTAAAGTTATTCATGTTCACTTAACATTTATGGAATTTTATGTTTGTTTTCTCGTCACTTTTCTCCCATCCCTAGAATTTGTCGAAGTTGAATAAATGTGTTTGATGTGCAGCTCATCTGGGATCGAGCACTTGGTCTTCCAATTGAACGACCGAAGAGTATGACTTTTGAGTACATTGAAAACTACTGCAAGTCCAAAGCGGGCATGACAGCATGAAGATGATTCCGACCTATTTCATATATGAGCAGTGCTAGCCAGATCTTTAACCCGAAAAATGTGTTTAAATAAAAGCACACAATGTTTCTTTTCTCCAACCGTTTTCACCTTTAGCTGTGCATAACTTTATGAAATTATGTGCTTGAAATATCTTCAATATTGATGGCACCTTCTTACAGAAAGGCTATGCTAGAAGTCTAGAAGGAATTGAGCAAGCTGTTTGAAATGGAAACTACAACATTCAATTTCAACAGAAAACATTCGACTAGACCTCACTGACAGACACTGTTATTATAAACATGGAAAAAGTAATCGAAAAGAAACTGGGCTCGTACGATTTGATCAAGGGGAAAGGACAAGTAAAAAGCTCATCTGAGAGAACTCTCTCAGACGATCATGCGGAAGTTGAGAGTGCAGCATCTTCGCTCACATCTCGCACCTGTAATCCAAGCATTCTCAGACTGAACCACGAACCCATCTGTATCCTCCCCTTATTGCCAGAATTTACCATTACAGCGCAATCGAATTCAGGTATGTGGACTCATTCCAATCTTTCCAAAAAGTCATAGGAGCCTTATACAATCACAAAACTTAGCATGTCAACTAACTCACATGAGGCGAGTTCAGGAAGTGTTGACACATGATACATACCACTGTCAAAATCAGCGTACTTTCACTATTACTGCTGAAGTGATTTCAGAGCTTACAGTTTACAGATAGATCAAAGGCTGGACTTGGATTCCATGGTTGTTCAGCTAAGCCAAGTAGTTTGCCGACGATCAAGCTTCCTTTACTCTTAACATGTTTTTGCACTTGAGATCTTTGATATGAATCCGCTCAAGGATTCTTCATGGATAGTGTAGGCACATGTAGCTGTTGATAAGACATATGAAAACACATTTCGAATTTGTGATTGCACACAAAATATTGAAATTTCCTCCATGATTTTCTCCTTTACCAGTGAATCTCAAGAACATATGATTTTTTAATTTAATACATTCAAAAAAGAATTTATCTTGACATTCTGTGTATTATTATTATGAACATGTTACAATGGTAGTTGAGTAGGTCTGTATTATTGTATGTTACAGGTGTAAGTATTTTTTTGAGTTTTTATTTCTGGTTGAAATGGATTAATGCATAACAGTAAAACTTCTATATATACACGCTTTTAATGGAATTAGTGCAATAGGCATGAATAAATTGCAGCTAAAATAAAATTCATTTATTCATATTTTTTGTGTTCTATTTAGCTTAATACTATAATGAAAATGAAGTATTTTTTTTTAGTAATTTCGAATCAAGATATAACCTCAAATATACTATTCAAAATTATTCATTGATGTTTACAATTTAATAAAAACTGACAAATTTATTTTTAGCATGTAATTTATACAATAATAGTAACTATTATTAAAAAAAAACATAAAATAAAGTGTTGCAATAAAATGAATAAGCAACAAAATAAGTGCTGCAAATGTGTTTACTGATCATTAATTATAAGAATTATTTTTAACCATTTTAATCCAATTCATAGTTTTTATGGATGTATGATGTTTATATTAATTAAGTAATCAATATAATAATTAAAGGCAATCATTTTTTTATTGTTGAAAAATGAATATTTCTTAAAATTAAAGTTTTTCTAGTAACTGGTTTATATATTGACTACAAGATTGCTGTAATTTGTTGACTATTGTTACATACAAATAGAAATTGTTCTCTTTTAATTTATTTATAGATTATATAGTTATAAATGCATTTTAATATTTATATTTAGAATTGAATGAAATATTTCACAATGTCTATTCAATTAGTTGCACTATAATGTTTTCACATTTTTTTTACTACAAAATATGTTTATCAATTATAAAGTTGTAATTAAAAAATTAAACAAAAAAACAATCTCATTACAAATAAAAATACACATTTATCAAGTATATAATATATTAAATATCAGAATGAATCATTCTTATTTAAGTTTTGAGCAAAAACTCAAGTTTCTAATATAATTACTTTTCTACTATGACTTATTTTTACATTAGATAGTTCTTCTAAATGAGTAATACTTGTTCAACTCAATACTTATAGTCAAAAGTTTTAATATTTGAAATATTCAAAAACGAAGTAAAATAAAATAAAACCATTTTGAGTTTGTAAGTAAATTTAAAATCAAATTTAAGATTAAAAGATATTTCAAATTGTTGGCTTAAATTCTCTTTTGGCATCAAGGAGGTGATGTTCTTGTAGTCTTTGCTCAGTGAGTTTGTAGTAATTCATTGACTTTGCATTTAATCACTCAATTACTTCACATTTCATTACAACAAGTTGGGTTTTTTGATTTGTTTGCAATGGCAATTCATTGTCTAGCAGGAATATCTTTTTTGCAATTTGGTATTGCTTTTTGTTCTACAATGTAAGCCCTAATCCATGAATCAGGTTTTTCACACATGTCTATTTGTTTTATTCTTAATAGATACAACTCTCACTGATCATGGTTATTTTTGTATGTGAATTTATGTTTTTTTTATATTTTATTTTGTTTTTTTGGTTTTTTTTGGTTTTTTTGTTTTTTTTTTCTTACTAGGTGTTACATATTAATTCTAATATTTACTTAGATTTGTAGTTGAATTTAGGTTAGAAACTTGGTCAATAAGTTAACCACATGTTGATAGCTTGTAGAGCAAGCTAACTATATGGTGCACATATAGAAAACTTATCTTATAAATTAAGATATGTATCTAGCAAAGTCAACACATTTTAGAAATCCTATAGGATATTGCTATGTAGCTCATAATTAAGAGTATATATAGAGGCAAGAGTGAAGCCTTCTTCACTCTTGTCAATGCCTTTGTAGTCTTTAGTCTCATTTCAAGACTTTTTAGTCTTCTTGTTTTTGCCAATAGCCATTTAAGTTTAATACTATATCATCTTTAAGTGATTTTCTAGTCTTTTTGAATGACACAAGAGTGTTTTGATATTTTAGTTCTTTGAGGTTCATATTTTAGTTCTTTGAGATATTTTAGTTTAGACATTTTGTATTTATGTAATATTATCATTGATATCATTTACTTTTTAGCAATGAAATTTTCATTTATTCACTAAAAAATTAAACTTTTGACTTTTCAAAAATATTAGATAAATTTGCTTTGCAAAATGAAAACAAAAAAATATATTTGGAATATTGAAGTTATGATCTTTAGCTTTGAAATGAATATTAATATTATAGATATTTTTTAAAAATTGATTAAAATATTAATATTTATTAAAAGATCCATAAAATGAATTAAATGGTATTTTAAAAAAAATTGGAATAATTTTTTATTATTTTCTAAAGAAATAATATCATATACATGCATACATAATATCTACATTGGTTCTATTTTTGTGTAATTTAAAAGTATAGTATTTGAGTTTTCTTTCTTTTTAAAAATATACTAAAAATATTGAATATTATATTTATTTTTAATCTTAATAGAAACATAATCATTTAGAAATTTAAAAAACAGATTCACATTTTTTGTGATAATAACATGGATGCAATAGGTCTATTATTAAGATTGCTCAAAAGATAAACATCCAAGACAAAATGTGGTTGTCATTCACTGCATGCATTCTTCTTTGTTTTCATCAAAAAACTTAACATTGTATGGAATCCATAGGACATTTTACAATTGTCACAGACACAGAAATACAGACTCGAGATCTAACAAGAAGTTCAAGAAGAACTGGCAAGAACTAGATTAATCAGTTGAATACAACAACAACACCAGAAAGGTGAGCTAGAGCTCCAAGAGATGTGTTGTCGAGACTGAAGAACTCTTCAACCTCAATTCCAATATATACTCCTATTTAGGAAGCTTCTCAAGCAACTTCTATCAGCTAAGAAGCTTCTAAAAGTTTCCAGAGACTTGCTGTTAGAAGGTTCTAGAAACTTGTCTCTAGAAGATTCTAAGGACTATGTTCCTAACATCACTTCCTCCTTTAGCTTCGAGGTCTCTGAGAAGCAATGTTGTTGTTAATCACTACCAACGCAAGAAAATGAAGATTTGTCGCATAACGTTTGCTATGAACACAAACTGTTGTTTACAAGGCAAGTGGTTCATTGGCCCTTGAAGCCAACGGTAGTGGCCCACGCCTTTGACTTGTGACCAAGCATGAATTTCTGTGTCCTCATTGTGAAATTGTCTAAGAAACACGCCTTCTGGTTGACCATCGTAAGCAGGCTCGAACTCAAATGCAATCACCAATGATCGGTTACTTGGTATCCTCCGTCGTCATCGTGGTATAGGCAGTTCTTCATCTCGGGGTCGCCTTCATGAGCTAGTTGGTTGAGATAATCTGACTGGCATAGTATCTATCTCTTGGCTATCCATATCAGAAGACCAAACTATGGCTACTGAAAAAATTCTACTTTATCTTGGAAAAAATAACTACATCAACTACGAATTTTGGTGGTGATCTCCCCCTTTCTTATATTCTTAGGTAAGCAAGCTTCAGAAGGAAGCTATCGTTGAACCGGCTTACGTTTATGAGGATGTTGTTGATGAAACTCTTGTACCTTTTGCGATGCATTGGTGAGATTTTCAGCTCGCTCCCATGTTCGCTCATTAATGTCGTAGCCGCACCAATGAACAAGATACTCCAACTTGCCTCACCTTCACCATGAATCAGTACCTTTTCAACCTCGTATTCCTCATGGTTCTCGATCTCAATACTAGGTGGTGGACATTGCATTCTTCCAAGAAAAGACGACTCTCGATAAGGCTCCAACAAAAAAACATGAAAGACTGGATGTACCTTCATAGAAGCCGGTAATTCCAGACGGTATGCCACTGGATTGATTTGCTTCTGGATGATAAATGGTCTCAATCTTCAATAGTCCAACTTATCACATGGTCGCTTGGTCTTGATATTTCGTCAAAGAAGCCATGCTTTATCTCCAATTTTGAAAGTAGGTGCTTCATTCCGAAATCTATCTGCAGACGCCTTGTAGGATTCTTGAGCGGATTGTAATTGAAGCTTCAACGTGTTTTGAAGCTCTGATAATTGTTTCGCAAATTCTTCAACTGCTGGA